ACTGCATCTGTCGTGGTGTTCTCGCCAAGACCAACTAAACAACTTTATTCATTTTCAAAACCTTAACCAATTACAAAGCAGTAAAAAGACTCTAGGGCGTAACCTTCAATCATAAAGCCAATCACATTAAGTACTGGATACATCATATCTTTTGATTAATCGTTCACTACATTAATAACTGCGAATACTAACTGTCAGAAATAGTAGTCTGAATAGCGACGGTTATCTCGTAATTAGTTCCAAATCACTGAGTCGAGTTCTGTCCAGAACCTCAAATGGGTCGAAACGATGACAGACATAACACAGCCATTCATTAGTAATCAGCTAATTAAGTCGATCAACAGATACGCAAAAACAATTTCATCATACTTGGTTTGTACTGGTTGATCTGCTCAACAGTCAAAGTCGCCATCTATGTGTGGCGCGCAGACTACCGCCCTTTAAATAGTACTGGCAGGCTAGTGGAGATTTTACTAGAATGTATAGGATATGAGGTTGTTAGAAGAATACTCAAAAGTATGCAAAAAGGCTGTACGGGGATCTAATATAAACTGACGCATGGCCTGAGTAGTTACTTTGCGGTATTCTCGCGAATATTATTATACATATTTTTTCCTGCTTATAATAATTTTATGAGATAACAGCCCAAAATAGCAACATAGCATTTCTCACCCAATGTAAATAAATGAAAGTGTTGGAATGTAATATGAAGCAGTCATAAATATAAGCACAGTATGGTAAATATCATCAAAAAAACTATCTGTAATTATTTGTAAGGTATTAACCTACCTTAAAGGCACCTGACCATCATCATCAACTGTCGCAGATATATTCAGAACAAGAACAAAATACAGTTTTGTGGTTTGTCTGTTTATTTTATAATTTCATGCTTTTCAAAAAGTCCATTTATTTAGTCATAATTTGACATAATTTTAAAAAGAACGTTGGCAATAGACAGTACGGTAAATGCAAAAAAAAGAGTGATTCAACAATAAATTATAAAAGAGAAAGAGATAAGTAGTACTGTATAAATGTTGACTGTGTTTAAGGGATGAACCGATACCTCTGATGGGGTGACAAGGATACTTGCATAAATGTTTTGCTTTAAAAAATACTCATCAGCCTCTTCAAGTAACACAAACCCTCAATTTTCATGCAAATAATGGTCCAGCCCTTAATGATTTGATTTTGTATCACAGCATACCAATATCAGAAGGCAGGAGGTTTAAACCATTACTTGTTTAGATAAATTGGCAAATTTTCTGAAAAAGCCTTGAATCAAATTTGAAAAAAAATTCTGAAATGTACTGAAAGTTCCCATGATGCAGTTTATGTCACAATGTTTGATCATAGTTTGTTCAACTTTTGATCAATTTTGGCATTATCAGCAATAATTATTGGCAGTAAGAACCCAATCACTTTCTTTATGTACAGTTTAACGACTGCAAACATATGACAAAAAAACAACATTTGTAAAGTCAGAAAATGCATACATAGTGTAAATTATTTTGTATATAATCAATTCCGGACATTGAATGACCTGACATGGGAATACTAATATTCACACTGACCACCCTTTATGCAATCATACCCATGATTCAGTGCACCTTTTTAATGAAAGTATAACATTATGAACACTGAGGGCGCTGTAATGCTGAAGGCATGCAGGTCTGTATTGATATGCATAATTCGTAAGAAAACTATATCCGAATATAATAATCACAAATGCACATAAATCTTATTTCAAATGAGGTGAGCACAATTACTTGCATGATAATACTAATAATTATTTACCATGACGGAAACAATGAAATCTGTTATTCGTTTATCAAAGTTCCCAGATCCAGACCATTAAAAAAAAACATAGAAAAACTATCTAAGCCTTGCGTTTGAAAGAAATTCAGATTTGTGAGAAGAGCTCTGTTTTACATCTGTGAACAGATTTTGTGGCACCAATGATGAAATAGAAATAGTTAATAAGTTAAGAATAATTACTGAATAACAATATTTTTCTAAATAGATAGTTCAGGTACTTTGCAAACAAGAACAAAATTATTATAAACCAGATTTAACATATTTCAAAGCAGTTGTATTTTGGTACTGTTGAACGTAACTATAGTCTAATCTTGAGACACCATTACTGTTCGTTACTGATTACCCAGCATGCCCTTATGCAGTGTTAACTGATAATGAATAAACAATGAATCCAAATGTCACTCATTAAATATTAAATCACCTGCATGTAGTATCTAAACCATGCAATGGTATAAACACACAAATACATGCCAAAGGAAAATGATGAGACCAAAATATAGAGTATAGCATATACAAGATAAAAATCACATTAAGTGTACACTGTAAATGTTGGTTTCAATGAAAATAAAAATAACATCAGTAAAGAATATTTTTTTTTTTACTGTGTATATACTTGTAAACTTTTGGCATGTGCTGATAAATAAAATGATATCTATGTGAAAAGGTAAAATTACAATAAAACTCATTGAGGCAAATATCTATATTTAAAATCCAGTGAATGTGATTAAATATATAAATAGTGATTTTGTGGGTGGGCTTCACCAAAATTGAATACTGACTATTATCATATAACTCGTATTGCCCGGCCTCGTAACACTATGGGAAGTGCGCCCTCACATCAAGGCAATAACTACCTGTATCAACTAAAACAAAACATGTTTTTGCAGTCATGCCATGGTAAAATTGTGATTACGGGTAAACCTATAAGGTGTAGGATTAAAACTTTATGGACTGGATACAACTTTTGCTGCCCTCGCTCGTACGGCATACGTGTACTCGCAAGCTCAGGCACTTCCGCCGCATTGACCACGGGCTGCAAGAGCCGTATCCAGTCCATAAAGAATAATATATAGTGGTTAGAGTACAATCATGTACATGTACAGAAATTTTAATGAGGAAAAAAATAATATATACAACACACTCGCTGTAAATGAAAGATCTTAGAGAGTTACAGGATGACAATGTCATAAGTGGTTTCAAGATTGTATCTAAGTGTAACCTATTAAGTGTCATTCCGATTACAGTCTATGTTAAGCCAATACAGATTTTGAAAACAAATATTCCTCAATAATCTCAATAACTTCAGATATATATGTGCCAGACTTTTCAACATTTAATTACACATCGATGGACAATATACACATATTGGGAAATATTGAAAAAAAAAATTACTTTTAAATTAGTTATCCTAGATACAAGAAATGACAGATGACAATGACAATGACAGACGGATGGACAGACAGACAGGTTAACCAAATGCCTTTTCTTTTCTATTACAGGCAGGGAAAAAACATTTGGTATGTTTTATACTGCCCTCATAGGTTGATATTATAGTTTTCCTATTTATTCTCTGTACAGTGATTCAGTCTATCACTTACTGGGTTGTCATTGTATTTACAATTTACTTGAACCATTTACAAATTTCATTATCTAATATATTACAAAATACTGGGTACTGTTATTCAGATTACACAGTGACCCATCACTGAAATTCTGGGTACCTTGAAACTGTCATTGAGATTACAAAGTGAGCAATCACAGAAATACTGAGTATCTTGTAACTGCTATTGAAAAAAAACATAGTTACCAATCACAGAATTATTGTCTTCCTGAGTAATGAAGCTAATTCCTTTGTTGTAAAATAGATGTGATGCAAAATGGGAATACCACAATCTACACAAGGGGAGGGGGGGGCTTCATTATTTTGACGCAGCAGACTTTTTTAATTTTGTTCATTTTTTCTAGGTTATTTTTCCTTTTTACATAGGAACGGGCCCGATAAACAAAAAATTCTTCATCCGTCACTGCCACACCACTCCATGGTTGCTATAACAACAGAAGAATTGTTTTTCTTATTTGTTGTATTCCCAGCAATGTCAAAATGGGAGAAAAGCATGCTGACAATTTTTTACTTTTAAAATTGAGCGAAACTTAATGACATAATGTCCAAAAGTTTATCTTATAAAATCTATATTTGTATCTGTGTATAAAAATGTAAATGTAGATATATGCCTAGCTCACATTTGAAAGGAACAGATGAACTAGTAATGTAGTATACTAGTATTCATCAAAGATATCACACCTCCAAGTTACAGATATAAATTGGCACTAAACAAATTTAAGTATGTACATCATTCAATACTTCAATTCTACTAACGACTCTCTGCCATCGTTCGGGTCCCCCAGACTGAATTTAACGACTGGTGGCATTTTCTCCTCTCCTACACATTCCATGGAACCTGCTACAGTGTTCAGTGCAGCAATGGATGCTCTTGATGATGGAATTAGAGACATATTAGCAATAGATGAACGGTTTCTTTCCCTGAAATTATAAAAAAAGAATTGTCAGTGCAAAACAAAAATATACATGGGGTCAAAAACAAACTTTAATTTATGTACTGACAAATACTTGTATCATACAGTGAATTTCATGAAGGCATACATTTTTTTTATATAAAATATACATAAAATTTGCCACATTTTCAAATGTTTAAATCAACTTGACCAATCACAATGTATTAACATATGAATGGCAGTAACACAGTCAATAGACACACAACTGCTGTGATCATTATATGGGCGTTTCCACTCACTATAGCTATGGAGTGTTCCATAAACTTTTAGGGTGTCATCTTGGGATGGGCATTTAAATTAAAACATGACATGCAACACAAAAACGAGTATTATGGGTAGTTTACAGTTTTTAAGATCATGGAAATCAGAATAAAAACAAATAGGGATATATTTTTTTTTACAAATGATCAGATAAACAAAAAAATCTTATTCTTCAATCTGTGTCTTAATTTCTTTTGTTAATCTTCTCAATGAGCCGACCGGCAAATCTCATCGGGATCACTAGTAAACACAATATCACAGGATTAACAATTTTCCTATTATCTCTGACGCTTGATATACTTTTTGTTGAAAATTAGGTACAAAGTACATTTATTCACTAATTGCTTTCCATACAAGACTCTAGAGAGACACTAAATAATGCATGATCTTACCTGATTTCAGCTAGTTTGGTCCGTGTCTCGTTCCTTTTCAACTCAGTAATTGGATAGCACCATAGAAATAACAAACCTATTAAGATTAATGCAACAGGTGCAGCTGATACTAACAACCGCAATGCATAACCAACTGACTCTGGCTGTTCACATGCACCAGTCTGATAACCAGCAAATCTGCAAGAAATACAACATACAGAGCATAGATGATATCAAGTTTTAGACAGGTTATAAAGTTCCACTATTACCTTAAAAAATATTCCAATTTCATTTGCATAGGGAAGTTGATTCCACCATTTAAACTTTCTTTAGCTCATCCGAACGCTGGGAACCAGAATCGTGAATAGATTTTTTCTGACACATGTGAGGACTTGAACAAGAATGTATTTTTTCTGACACATGAGGACTAGAAACATGAATAAATTTTTCATGACACATGTGACGACCACAAACATATATTTTTCCTGACACATGTGAGAACCAGAAACATGAATAGATTTGTTCTGACACACGTGAGGACCAGAAACATGAATAAATTTTTTCTGACACACATGAGGACCATCAACTTGAATATTTGTCTGGGCTTTACCTGAGCTGTGTTAATTTATTGGGTAAAGTGTACTTGCGTGAAATGAACAAATAACTTACTCTAAAATCAGCGTTGAAAACCCGAGAGCAAGCCCGACAGCAAATTTTGTAAAAAATACATAAAATGAATAAAATATGGCTTCTTTTCTGCTACCAGTCTTCACAGTGTAGTCATCGATGACGTCTGGTATCATTGACCTTGGAGTGAATGCAAATGAGAAAAAATGTAAGTTTTCCACGTATAATTTTTAATTATTCAATGTACTGAGATGACAAAAAAAATATGAAATTCTGTACATGTATTTAATTGGGTGAAAAGATAGTTAGCATAATAGCTCAGAGACCGGACTTGAATATACATGTAATAATCATCCAACTCAACTCGAAACAGTTATCACTAAATTGAACCACCATAAAACTACACTTCAGAATTATTGTTAGTGTTATAGTGAAAAGTCGAAACGTAAAGCATTGGCCACTCTCACAATGACAAGGATTCTGGCTGACTATGTTGATGTTTAGAACAAAAAAAACATGAAATGAGCATTGGGATGATCCTTATATAGACACTGTCATTGAAAATGCACATGAATATGTTCTCTGGTTGGTTGGTTCTTACATCACTCATACTATGCTATACTGTAAACCAAATTAATTTTGCAGGAGACAAATTTTCATGAATGTGATAGTTGCAAAACTTTGTAGCAGTGGAAATTTCTCTGGAAACTTTCGTGAAATATTTTTTTTCACAGATGATAAATAATCATTGAAATTCTAAACTTCCTAGCAGCGAAAAAAAAGCTGTTTACAATATACAGTTCATTCAAATGCTGTGAAGTGCTAAATATTACTCATGGCTATTCTATGACAAACTTGGTGCATTTGATCTTGTGAATTTTGCATTCTTTAATAAGCGCTTGCCTGTGAATGTGCAGAAGGCTTTTTTTCAGCACTCTCTGAAAGGTAGTCGTTTTATTCTTCAATTTTTTTGTGAGCCTTCACATATGCATGCAAAAGTAACGAAAAAAGTGTTGCTTTAAAAAAATTTAGCAGAACATGCACATACCATGGTAACAAGTACATAGTACCCAGGAAAGCTCCGCTGATTGCCGCTACGGAATAGATCAACGCGACTGAGGTGTCAGGTACAAAGAACAGCCCAATGCATATTGGGAGTTGAGCCTGAAAATAAATCGATCCAGTTATTTGACTCACCATGGTAACAAGTATAATGATGATCCCGTGGTTCCAACAAGAAATGACATGATAAAAATGATGAGAGGTTTTCCGGGTATGAAAAAAAGACTGCTACAAAATGGTAAATTTATCTGTAATAGAGAAAAAAGGGAAGGAAAGTGAAATGATCATTCATTAATCTGGACTTTTGCTATCCCTTCGCTAATTGTCAGTAGCGAATTGAATTTACCATAATTATTTTAAAAGTTGAGTGATACAGTGACATTAATTCGTATGGGGGTGGGGGTGTTGGATTATAATATGATTGTTTTTGATTACATAATACTAAGGCAATGATGAATATGCTTCATTATGCAGGTTGATGGATGAGAATGACTGTAACCAAGCAACCAGCATGCCACCAACCATGATATTTAAACAATATAATCACTATTTATTCATATTTTCAGAAGATTCCTCACAAACAATTTTAATCGCATTTCAGAATAAAGTTTGCCAAAATATGGCAACAAAAAACACAAACTTTAAATGAGCTAGACAACACTCAACTTTGAAAGAATGATCATTTTCACCAGTCTAGGTTTGTTTATCGCCTCCCCACTATACCTTAATAGCAGATTCTATTGGGCAAATATTTATTTAAGTGCACCCACTTTGGCAATTCAACATTCTGCCATTTTGTTTTATGCCTTATCACCATAAACTGGAGCAGCTCTGTGGTTATGTGCATGTTTTAGATGCACTTCCATGAAAATCAACTATGGGACCACTTAGAATCTTAATCTTGCACAGGTTCATGGGCTAATGTTCACATCATGAAACTGCACAGTCTTGATGATGAATTCTAAGACACAGCAATTGATGGCATGGCCAGTAAAGAGTTAACTTTACCAAACTAGCAACTTCAAGTTCTAAGAATTGCTGCAAGATTTTAACAAATATCTCTCATTCATCCAGCTTTGTCGTAACAGGTTGATGACAGTCAGCACAATTGTTACCTGACGACATAACAGTGTAATTGTAAATGCCACCGCCACCAACCAAAAACGTTCAAAGAAATTCAAAACAAAATTAAATGACTTGCTCAAAACAAAACTGACGCATGCGCAAAATTCATTAAAAAAACATACAAGAGAAATTCACAAAACTCAAAGCAAATGAATAATAAATGGCATGAATAATTGACCATTTTGAAATGAATACAAAATTGCAAAATGAGACCATGTGACATAATGTGTAATACCTTGACATATGCATGTGTGGTCTGGTGTGATTTATTCCTGTACATTGAAGCCTATGGTGTATGTGCATGTATGATGTTCAAGTTGAAGCAATGATGCATTCTACTGGAGTGGCATATAGCGAATGTAACACTCCATAGACTCAGCAACAATTGACAAATACAGCTACAAATAACAGGAACAATTATATTTCAAATACACTTACAATAAGGCCTATCGCTAGAGCTGTTTTCTTGCCGAGTCGCTTAGCCAACAATTGCCACAGTGGTAAACAGAGTAATGCTGTCACCTGAGGAAAAACAACAGTACAATGACAGATGTGATCAAGTAGATTAAGACACATATGATGAGAATGTAAAACAAGCAGCCTATCGGCTGAGATAGCTCCGCTGTTAGCAATGCACATTTCAATTAAAGAACTGAAGACATCATTAGAAAATGAACAATATGAATAGTATCAAAGCAATCGGACTTACAGTTTTTAACAAGAAGTCGAAAATATCACTTTTTACCAAAAATTACAAAAATATCACCAAAATTAGAGAATTGAAGATATCATCACAAAATGAACAAATCTGAGAGAGTTCCACATGTAGTACCTATATATGTAATATCAAAGTAATTGCACTTGCGGTTTTAACAAGAAGTCGAAAATATCACTTTTTACCAAAAATGACAAAAATATTCACCAAAATTAGAGAACTGAAGATATCATCACAAAATGAACAAATCTGAGAAAGGTCTACATGTAGTATCTATATATGTAATATCAAAGCAATTGAACTATTGATTTTTAACAAGAAGTCGAAAATATCACTTTTTACCAAAAATTACAAAAATATTCACCAAAATTAGAGAATTAAAGATATCATTACAAAATGAACAAATCTGAGAGAGGTCCACATGTAGTACCTATATATGTAATATCAAAGTAATTGCACTTGCGGTTTTTAACAAGAAGTCGAAAATATCACTTTTTACCAAAAATGACAAAAATATTCACCAAAATTAGAGAATTGAAGATATCAACATGAAATGAACAAACCTAAGAGAGGTCTACCCAAGGTACATATACACCAAGTATCAAAGCATTCAGGCTTGTAGTGTTCAAGAAGAAGTCGAAAAAGTAAAACATTGACACGGACGACGACGACGGACGACGACGACGACGACGGACAATCACTCATATGATAAGCTCCGCTCGACAAAGTCGACAGCGGAGCTAAAAACAAATTTTCATAAATATAAGCACATAATTGTTATCCAACAATGTACTAACCAGAATCACGATGAGTGCCAGCTGAAAGTTGTCGTAATTGAGAGCGTGTACAAAATACAATGCTAAGTTTCCCTGAATAATCTATAATGAAGAACATATAAGAAGAGATTTGCTGAAATGAAACATGCTCACATAAATATGCACATACAATGTATGCAAATACACAATGTCCTGTCATTTGTGCATATTTATAGGAAAACCTAGAATGGCCCAGCCGTGACAATTTCATAATCTTTTTTTTTTCTTAAATCACGGTACGACATGAAATTTACCTGAGGTGTATTCATTTCTATTAATTATTTATGATATGACGTTATGGAGCTCGAGAGAAGAAATCAAAAGTGTACGTGTGCTTGCACAAAGGATTCTACTCGTCAGGTCACATGTGTGTTATGGTTGCGTGGAACAGACCAGATCAAAAACTGTCGTTCTTATTGGTTGGCAGCTTACAATATATTCTACTCATTAGCGTACATGTGTCTATCACCTCAAAAACGCAGTGACAACTATCGAGGGCGCATCAACGCAAGAGATTCCACAAATTCGTTCTTTAAAGGGCGGTAGTTGTAGTGCTGTGCATGTGCGACATTTGTGTTGATAAACATTGAGTTTCCCACAATCCAATGTGTTCTGCTAATGTGATCACAAGTATGAGGTTTGACCTGGGTGCAACTTACACTTAATTACCGCCGACTCCTTTGATACCTTTCAATTATCACCTGAAAATACCTAAGTAACGTTTGATAACGTCTCAGTTTGTACTCGTTGATCTGCGCAACAGTCAAAGTCACCATCTTTGTTTATATGAGACTCATCTATCTCGCGCTTGCGTGGCGCGACGACTACCGCCCTTTAAGGAATTATCATACAAAACAATAAAATCGCAATGACTGGGCCAGTCTAATGAGAACCCCATTGTAAATCAATCGGGCTTGTTGCCATCTATTGATGGAGTTCAGTATTAACGGTAGCTTCGGAGGTTTTATTATGCTCAGAGAACTATTTTAATCACAGTTCAAATGAGAACGACAGCAAATACCAACCTGTAGTGCTAATGAAGTGCATAGAAAACATAAAAGTAACTTGATATATGGACCATAGGTTAGAACTGATTTCAAACCGGTGCAGAAAGTTTCGGTCGCATCAGGCTTCTCAACAGCATCATCTACAAAAAGAAATAAATTTAAAACTTTCATTTTAACATAAATATCAGATGAGCGATATGCTCACCAGCACAGCAGCATGGTGGATTACAAACAAATACATGTACGGTTGTTTTATTAGAAACACACATTGACAAAAGTAATGTTGCCATTTTCAATCCAATTCAATCGATATGGTCCATTTCATAGAATAAGTATACAACACCTGTATATGTCCGGTGAAAGAAATTTCTCCAAATTCGCATTCACTTTAATTGTACATTATATTGTACAATTTAGCCAGAATATCTTTGTTGGAATTTTAGAAGAGCAAAAAAATAAAAAAACTGGCCAGATTCTGGATGAAATATGAAATAATAGTGTCAACATCTATATGATATATTATGACATCGCTCAGACGTATGGTCAACCGTTGTTGCTATGCAAATACTGTCAGCGAGGTTTCACACAACGTGCACTGTCTATGGTGTTATTACATCAGTGGTGAATGAAACTGACATGGCAGAAAAGAAGTTCTAGTGATGAACTGCATGAAGACAGTAAAAGGATATAGAAGCGAGAAAAGCTTGAAATTTACATACTATAGTGAGAATATTATTTTGTGTTTCGAATGCGATTGCATAACGAACAGGCCACTAAATAGTTACAAAAAACATGTATATAATAAAACAAAAGAGTATGCAAATTAAAATGATATGTGAATGTACTATGAACATATTTACGCACAGCTGGGTTTCGGAAATAAACCACAATTACGTACCAATTGCATACCGCCGGTAAATAAAAGTCACAATATAATGTTTCATAGTCCAAAATTTTGTTTTTTCTTGTTTTTTCCCTCCTCACTACCTTAAGAGATATAATGATAACTTAATTCAGTATTTCTACTTAGACAGCATCATTTAAAAATAATGTCATGTCTCACCTTTCATTTCTTTTGTAAAAACTGTAACCACAGCACAACACAACAGAAATATCCCAGCAAGCACGGCAGCAGCGACCAAATATGCCATTTCCTTCATTGAATAAAAAACAAACCCATTTTTTGAAATTAAAATATTTGATCTATGTACTTACATAAATGACCAGTTCAAACAGTTCAGTGTGAGTTAGGTTTGTGAACTTAAAATCCACATTTTGCTATTTGATAGACAAATTAAGGAAAAAAAAAACAAGCATATGCATTTCATCTGACATAATAACAATTTTAGTATCATTCCATGTATGAAATCAAAGACACTAGAAAATACAGTGACAGGCAACGGTCTGTACCATATCAGGGCGTGTCACGTAGTCCTCAACTGGAATATGGTTTATGTGGCAAAATAGACTATTAAATGCTCAATAAATGACACAGACACTTATGACCAACATCATGAGGCAGACAACATGGTACTCGAGTGAGGCTGCAACCTAGAGGGCACAGCAGTTCTCTGACAGAAGACGAGCCAGGTCTTTAGACTCACCCAAGGACAATATATGTGATAAACATGCAGAGTCATGAATGTGTATATTTTTTATCCCAGTGGTGACACGCCTCGATGTATATGTGCAGTGGACATCGACGAACAATCGTCATATGATAAGCTCCACTCAACTGCGTGGCTAAAAAAGCCAATTTCATTTTCATTTATATATGCTTCTATTGGAAATGCACTTTAAATTGAGCAAATACGGTAAATAGGTTTTCAACCAAATTGATACATTGTGTTTTTTTTTTAAATGAGTTAGAAAATGACTCAGAGTTGACAATTGAAAGGACACTTTTTATTGTGACTCGATTCAAGAAAACAATCCTGTGATATCTTTATTTGTTGATTTTCAAACAAAAAAAAGATGCCAATCCCTGTATTCTTGAGTGCATATCATCAAATTCGCACATAATACAAGACACAATACTATTTCCTACAATTTATATATATTCCATTGCCAATATTATACTTTGACTCAAAATATCCAAAAGTAGAGACATGTTTTACTCACTGTTGGATCCTGTTGCTCTGGTGATAGTGTTGGTAAAGTTGTTCTGTTCTCATGACCAATGCAAGGGTCAAGTGCATTGCTGTCAGTCGATCCTAAGGTTAAAAACTGTGCTTGAAGTACAACACCTAATACTGTTCCAAAGACTTCACATGTCATACCTAAGTAGAGATGGAATGCACTCTTTGAATTAACAACTGCAGCAAGTCTGTATTAATATGCTACACTCAGAGATAACTGTGGAATACTTTATTTTCGCTGGAATTAATTTTCACTGAAATAGCTTTTTGGGCGTTTTGTATGGAATTTATTTTTACTGATTTTTGATGAGTTCAATGTGAAATATAGGAAAAAAAGTATATTCGCTGAATTTTATTTCCACGGAATCATCCCTTTAGCGAAAATATATTCCAAGCGAAAATAAAGCATTCTACAGTACTTTTATTAGTGTTTTTTATGAAAAGTAAGGAAAAGGTTACATTGATTCATAAATTATAAATCTGTGTGCTTTAGATCTGCATCACTGAAAGTAAAATCCCCTTTTTCCCATATTTTACATTCAACTCATCAAAAATCAGTGGAACTAAGCTTCATAGAAATCTGCTAAAATACCTTTTCAACAACAATTAATTCCAGCTAAAATAAATTTTACAGTTAGTTAAATACAATTATAGATTAGATCAATTTTGTCACAAAGCTTTATTGAATACCGGTAACATCAAATCAATATGAGGTATACTCACGATATGCAGTAGCTGAATCTCTGTCTTTTTGCTCGTTGCTAAGATACATTGTCATAGAAACATACGGTATATGATAACACTATGATGAAAAAAATTAAGGATTAGAAAAAAATCAAATATGTTCCAGAAAAAGTATATCAGTACAACAACAATAATAATAATAACATACAACAAATATATTTAAAAAAAAAACCCTCAGGATTTGTTTATTTATTTATTTTGACCAGTATTATCACTAATCTACTAAAAATGTGATTGTGAAAATATTTACAACAAAATAATGTCAATATTAAAGTGGACTGAGAAGATCAAAATTGAAGTTAGAGTTCATTCTGTGTTGTTTGAAGGTCTTGTAACCAAACAGAAAATGTGTTAAATATACTTTAAAATACTGTATTTTCGCTTAATTTTAACTATTTTCGCTGCAGGATCGATTCTGTGAAAATAAATTCCAGCGAATATACCTTTTTTCCTAAATTTTACATTCAACTCGCCAATCAGTAAAAATAAATTCCATACAAAACGCCAAAAAAAGGCTTTTCAATGGAAATTAATTCCAGCTAAAATAAAGTATTTTACAGTATATCATATGGCATACAACAAATATTTTTTTTT